AGATCACCCCTATGTTTAATGGAGCACTATTTACAATAGCCAAGAAACGGAAGCAACCTAAGTGTCCATCAGTAGATAAATGGATAAAGAAGATGTGGTACATATACACAATGGAATATTATTCAGCCATAAGAAGAAAACAAATCCTACCATTTGCAACAACATGGATGGAGATAGAGGGTATTATGCTCAGTGAAATAAGCCAAGTGGAGAAAAACAAATAACAAATGATTTCACTCATCTGTGGAGTATAAGAACAAAAGAAAAACTGAAGGAACTAAACAGCAGCAGAGTCACAGAACCCAATGGACTAACAGTTACCAAAGGGAAAGAGACTGGGGAGAATGGGAGGGTAGGGAGGGATAAGGGTGGGGAAGAAGAAAGTGGGTATTATGTTTAGCATGTATAATGTGGGGGTTGGGGGAAAGGGGAGGGCTTTGCAACAGAGAAGACCAGTAGTGATTCTACAACATCTTACTATGCTGATGGACAGTGACTGTAATGGGGTTTGTGGGGGGGACATGGGGTAGGGGAGGGTCTAGTAAACATAATGTTCTTCAAAAAAATAAAAATAATTATTTAAAAAAAAGAGGTTTGAGTAGATATTCTAATAAGTGGTGTGGTGACTCCATAATGTCATCAAAGACCCATAGCCCTTATCTTTCTGCCTCCAGTCTCAAGATCGCCTCATATTCATCAAGGGACCCCTGGAGCTCCAGTCACGACACCTGTGTTTGAAAAAGAAAGAAAAGGCCAGGAGAAAACTAAAATGGTGCTTGTTGAGTGACACAGATCTTTCCTAGGAGCTTTTGTAGAAACTCCAAGCAATGATTTTTGCTTGCATATCATTAGCCACTCTTACCTTAAAGGGAGACAGAAAAATGTCATTACATTTTGATTTTTTTCTGAATACATTGCTCTCCCTAGAAATATTAGTGGGAAAATGCATACTGGGTGGGCAATTTGCTGTGACTCAGGAGGACCCAAAAAATGCCCCAAATGTTCTACATTACAGTCCCTCAAGCTGAACTGGGCTTATTTGCTAACTGATTCATCATGTCTCAGCCTGTGGAGATTGTGAAAACCTGAAGTCCCTATTCTCCATATCAAGCTGGGCCCTTGCAAATGCTTTTGGGCTCTAATGTCTATGTCACTATTATAAATCAAATACTTGTGTAATTGTGATAACAGTCCTCTCAGTTGTCACTCCACTGCTTGGGCACCCAGTGCCAAAAAACCTTTTGAGATACACCTTTTCCTCTTTGGGTAGCTTTCGCTACTGAAAAGCTCTTCACTGCTGAAATCTTTGTCCAGTTTCTGTCTGCTGGAAGTCTGCTCCCTGGAATTATCTTCATCTTTTCCCCTCCTCATTATAGCCTTTCCAGCAGTTCAGAGCTCTCTGCCCATTCTACCCTGAGACTCAGGTTATCATAGCCTCCAATGTCTTTCCATTTTCTTCTCGCAATTCGGTTGCTGTCATCTCCTGGGGCCTGTGTTTTCAGACTTGAATGTGTAGGAACCACCCATGGTTCTTGTTAAAGTGCAGGTCCTGTGTCAGTACATCTGGAATGGAGCCCGAGATGCCACCCTCCTGACATCTTCCCATGCGATGCACGTGCTACTGGTCCACAGCCCACACTTTGAGTAGCAAGTGCCCTCAGTCTTTCTGAATGTGGTTCCTCTTTTAACAGGTGGTAACCAAGCCTAACTAAGTTGGTATGGTCAGTTTACCATAGAGCAAGACTTTGACCTCCTTTATTCTAGAAGTTTTCATATACCTTTTAATGAAGTCTAAAGATTACATGGGCTTTTTTAGTAGCCCTCCCATATTATTCACTTAGCTGAACTTACTAAAACCTGTAAGTCTTTGTCCTACAGGCCACTGTTGTGCTCTGTTTCCCCGATCTTATACTTACAGTATAAGATGTAAACCTGTTGGTTTTTTGTTTTATTGTAAAACCTGATACTGATCCTTTTGAATTTCATCACGTTGGATTAGACTCATCCCTCAGGCCAGTTGAGATCACTTGGCATCTGTCATCCATGGTATTTCCTGTCTCTTTTAGCTTAAGGGTTTCTAACAAACTTGATAGGCCTCTGTTTCTCCCTCTAATTCCACTGGACGCTTCTATCCATTAACTGGAGTTCTTTGGTTTAAATTCTCCTTCATCTCATTCACAGTATATTGGGAGAGACCCTGAAGTTCACCTTACCTAAGTTCAAATATATGACTGCACTGGTTTTCACATAGAGGCAGAATTTATCACTCACATTAGAGGTGCCTAATTTTATTGTTATGTTAGAGGTTTTTAAGATGTGCATTGGCAGTCACTGATTGCAGATTATAATAGCTATTTATCATCAGGGATTTTTATCTCTGGGCTGTTCTTAACTCAGATAATTTTTAGAAATGCATTGATTTCTCTCCCACTGTTGTTTTCCCTTGGGATGTAGTCACTGTGTGTCCCTGGAAAGTGTTAGGGCCTGTAAAAAGCTGAAGAAACAGTCCTTACATTTTGTACCCCCAGAGTGTTCTCTTGAGAGTCTCACATCTTGACTAAAATGAAGTTTTATGCCCCGGTTGTGCTTGTCCCATCTGGATGTGACCTTCCATCCGGTTGGGCTGACTTCAACTGTGGCCTCTCCTTCCTTCCTCAAGTCCATTTCCCCCTCTTCTATGTGGTGGTCCCTGTGATCCCCGGCATAGCTGCCTTGTTTATATGTCTGACTGTTTTCCATACCACCTTGGGAGGAGGTGCTATTCATCTTCTCCATTTTACAGATGAGGAAATGCGTAGCCAGAGAGTATGACGAGACTCTCACTGGCAAAGTGTCATTGCTACACTGTGCATGTGACAGAAGTGTGAAAAACGTGTCTCTGAGATTAACTGGACTGTTGATCTCTGCTGATAATGGGAAAGTGATACACAGTGTGTTATTTCCTGTAACCTGCCAGGTTGAGTCACTCTCTTATGTACCCATGTGTTCACTCAGTAGCGCTGAGTCCCTGCTGTGTACCAAGCACTGGGCATGGAGAAGATGTGGCCTCAGCTCCCACAGAGCTGGATTTCATGGGTGAAGTCATGCCAAAATCCCATCCCTTTGTAATGAGAGTTTTAAGAGAAGTTTACATTTTCTTTCTCTTTCCCTTTCTTGACAGGTCTACATCCGGATAAAAGATGATGAATGGAATGTCTATAGGCGGTACACAGCGTTCAGGAGTTTGCACCACAAGTTACAGAACAAATACCCTCAAGTGAGGTCTTACAACTTCCCACCCAAAAAGGCCATTGGAAACAAGGTACCGTCACCGCGGGAAGCTAGGCAGCTCACGCACTAGTGCCTGCCTCAAGGCGCACTGTTTCTTCCTTACTGCGTTATTTAACATACATGCTCCTGTGAACACGTAACTCAAAAATTGGTTAATATAAGGAAACAGGAACAAAAAAAATAGTCACCCATAACTCTACCACCTAAAGACAACCACATTATGCTTTTGTGCCTGGCCTCTTATTTCTCTAGGGCAGGGGTTGGCAAACTTGTTCTGTGAAAGGGCCAGGTAGTGAAGAGTGTTGGTTTTGCAGACCATACCATGTCAGCTGAAAATACTCAACTCTACCATTGTAGTATGAAAGCAGCCACAGACAGTATGGGCCCAAATGCACATGACTGTATACCAATAAAACTTTATTTATATGAACAGGTAGCAGCTGGACTCACCCTATGGGCATAGTTTGCCAACCTACATTCTGGACCAACGCAGATGTTTTCTAGTTGTCATGATACTTCATTAGAATTTGGAATGTGAGTTACTTCCCAAGAGAGCTTTCTCGGAGGAGCTTCTTGTGTGTGTGCTTGCAGACATTCTGGAGAAGGGCGGCTCCAGCCCTCCCCAAGCTTGCAGGTTGATTCGTAGTCATTCAGTCAGCAAGTGTTTATGGAGCATCAGTTATGTGTTACAGTGCAAGGGGCTGGAGTCCAGCACTGGAGCAGATGGGCCTGGACCTGTTGTGGGGGCCTGTTGGGTTGCTTGCCTCAGACAATTGGCATCATTTTGTCACCCATCATTTGCTTAGAGCAGCAGTTCTCCCATCTTGGCTGCACTGTGAATCACTTGGAGAGGTTTAAAAACTACTGAGGCCTGTCACTTCCCCATCACATTCAGGACCGAATTGCTTTGCAGTGAGGCCTGGGCCCTGCAGGACTTAAAAGCTCTCTAGGTGATTATAGTGTGCAGCCAAGATGCCGAACCCCTGGCTTCCAGCATCTTCAACAATTGCAATGTATTAACCAGCTTGGCAGGGACATTTCCATTAGTTGAGGTGAGCTCATGACCCTTCTCAGAACGTGAGACATCGGGCCTACTGTAAGAAGAATTCCTCTACTATCAGGTTCTCAAACTGTGGTCCTTGATCATCAGCATCAGCACCACCTGGGAGCTTGTTAGAAATACAGATTCTTACACTCCAACACATACCTACTGAAATACGAGATCCAGAGCTTGGGCCAGAAATCTGGGTTTCACTAGCCTTCTGGGTGGTGCTTATCCCCCAAGTGCTGGAAACTGGTGCTGTCATATTGACAAAGCCCTGTGGTAGATTCCATGCGCACTGAATTTCCTGGTTTCTTTCTTGAATTTCAACACCTGCTATGATTTCCTTTGATCTTTAACACAGAAAACCAGAGTTAGAGTTCCCAAACCCATTCCCATCCCTTGGGAATTCCATAGGGAAAAGTAATACTGACTGTTACATTGATATGTTTGTAGATTTCTGTGGTGGTTAAACCAGAATAGAAATCGGATCATGGCAGGGTCTGTTGGTTCTTAATTTAAACCATTATAAAGCAGGTTTGTCTGAGGCCTAGAACAAATCTGTCATTCCATTTTTTTCTGTTGAAGTGGAGGTGAGCCCATAAAAAAACAGAAGACTTGGAAATTCTATACTTGTTCGTAGAAAGGAGTATTCTTGTGAAAAGAGGGGAGAAAATTATGTACTGATACAATTTAATGACTTGCAGGCTCATACAAACCTTGAGACCCATCCAGGCTCATACAAATCATTGGGACCCCAATGTGGTAAAACAAAATTCTGCGTAATGAACGTATTATTATAAAATATTTTTATTTGCAGAAAGCAATACACTGAAGCAGCCCTTCCATGACACCTTCATCAGGCAACTCAGCCTGTCTGTATCTTGCTAAGGGAAATTAGGACACGGCTGAACCAGGGACATTCAGATGGTGAACTGTCTTGTATTATGTACTGTGGCTGCCATAACAAGTCACCACACATAGAGTGGTCTAAAAGAATGCAAATTGATTATTTTACCGTTCTGGAGGTCAGAAGTCCAAAATTGGTCTCACTGGGTTAAAATGAAGGTTTTGGGGGTTTGGGGGTGCTGGCTCTTTTTGGTGGCTCCAGAGGAGAGTCCCTGCCTTGCCTTTCCCAATGTCTAGAGACACCTGTATTCTTGACCTTGTAGTCCCCTCTGTCTTCAAAGCCAGCAGTCACAGTGCTCTGACCTCTGCGTCCCTCAGCAGTCACATCCCCTCCGACTCCTCTTCCTCTTAGCAGGGCCCTAATGATCCAGATAACCCAGGGTGATCTCCTCTCTCGAGATCCCTAACATAATCACACCTGCCAAGTCCTTGGGTCGTGTAAGGTAATATGCACAGGTTCTGGGATTAGAATATGGATGTCTTTGGGGGCCACATGTGGCTGAATGCTTTCTCTGCAGCTCCGTCCGACTCCCTCCCCACCTCCATCTCTCTGAGCCTTATAACACAAAACTTACATAAGATGAGACAGACTTCCCAAGAGCTGCCCTAGGAGCCAGGACTGTGAGTGGGCCCCTGCCCAAGATGTGCACCTGCAGCCCTGCCGTGAGTCCCCCCATCCTTGTCAACCGGGGGCTGACCTGCAGCTGCAGTGGCCTGTGTCAGCATGGGAGTGTCTGTCCCTGCCCCATGTGGTCCTGTTTGCAAATAAACAAGCTTGGGAATTAAAGATGCTACTTCGGTGGGCCTGGCCAGCAATGACTGCCTTGCACAAATGCTTTGGCTGGCTGGCTGTTTACTAGACATTCAATCCTGCTCCCCATGGTCGGGGTGGAACTGATTGCTTCCTCTGTGGCTCAGGAAGCTGACAGCTCATGAGCAGCCAAGGGGCCTCTGCCTCTGTCTAGCCTGTATGGCCCTTTAACTTGTAATTGGCTTGTTGCCTCTGATTCCCTCCCTCCCACCCAACATTTGGCTAAGATGTACCCACTTCTCCTCATTCACTTTGGCTGCTGCCCAGGACAGATCTGAGCATCCATCTGCTTTTCAAGGGCAGACTGAGTCAGCCTGTAGGACTTCAGTGCCCACCAGAGGCTACCCATGGACTCTGTTGGCTGGCACCAACATCTCTGGGCTTAAAGGCTCAGGACCCCTGCTTTGATACCTTGAAGGCAATTTATAGAGTTTTATTTCTAAGTTGGCCCAGAAAAATCAACCACATCAGAATATTTCTTTGATTGGGTCACTTCAAAAATGTCTCATTTGCTACTTGTACCATTAAGGCACACAGCCACGTCATCTTTGGGTGGATTGAGTTACCTGTACCTGCCACTCTAAACCTTAGACTTGCCAAATGATTCACTCCAGAATCTGCAGACCTGGACAGTATTCCAGGAGATGGTATAGTTTAGCTTTTTAAAAATTTTCAGATGAGTATGTTTCTAGCCTGAATTTCTAGATATTTCTCCATCAGTGCCTCTGCTGTTGATGATCTGCCAGTTTTAGAATTAAAGTGTGATCCTGACCCAAGTAGTTGTTGTTTTTATTGGTAAAGTTAGCACATTGTATAGTTGGTGGGTGCAGGATTTATTTTCACCAAAGAACTTCTCTTGCCTCAACACTCCATGCATGTGCTTGACTTTAAATGCACAGGGCGTTCATGTGCCTCATGAAGCCTAAATAATGTTCAAGTCATTTCCCAAATATCAGTCTGCTCCATGAAGCTTACTCCTTTGTAGCTGAGTCAAGCCACAGCAGTTGTATTTTAGAGTTACTCATTGACTTTGAAATACCACAGGCTTGGGGCCTGTATCTAGGATAGTCTTGGTTAGGCTGAGGTAACATTCCCATGGTCTTGGCAGTCGAAGGTGTGTTTTTGGTTCATGCTCTGTGTCCATCATGGGTTGGCTGGGAGCCATGCTAGGCTGCTGCCAGCTCCTCTCTATGTGTTGCCACAACTGTGGTAACAGGAGCAAGGGATGGGGCAGATTGGACCCTGGCTCTTAGAGCTTCTGTCTGGAAGTGTTACATGTCAATTATACTCATATTTCACAGACCAAAGCAAATTATGTGGCTGTGCCTGATGACAAGGGGGCAAAGGAATCCACTCTGCCACGCACCCAGAGGAGGACCAGAATCTCTACAAACTTCCCCCATTGCCCCCGTGAGGGTAGTGTTTCTCTTGAGCCCCATTTTGAGCAGGATTGAGAGGATAAGGTAGTATAGTTAGACCAGTCCCAAAGTGGTGTGAGGGTACTGGGGTCCCTCCTCGCGGGTAGTCCCAGTCAAGCGGGTGCCAGTCCATTCCACTCAGGGTGTCCTAACCCAGCCCCTGTTGTCTCTGGCACAGGCAGCTATGATGGCCACCCTTCTCCATGCCTGCCTGCTTGCAGTCCATTTTCCACGCTGTAGCCACAATGAGGCTTGTGCAACATAAATCAAATGGTGTCGCTGTTGATTAAACCTCTCTGGTGGCACCCATAGCAATTAATTTAGGACTCTTACTATGGATTTCAAGGTATCCCCTCCCCTATCTCATCCCACGCCCCCCGACCTTCCCTGCAGCCCCAGCCATGCTGACCTTGGACTTCCACACTGTTCTCACCTCTGGCCTGTGCCCTGCTGGTCCCTCTGCCTGGAACAGCTTATCCCCATCTCTGCATGGACAGCCCTTCCAGTTCGTTAGACCTCAACTCAAGTTCCACCGCTTCAGAGAGAGGCCTTTCCTGACTGCTCTCACCAGTGGCACCCCTTCAGCCACCCATTATTCTCTCTTAATTTCCTCCTTGCACATACCATCAATAGAAATGACTTATTTGGGTACTTGAGTATTAGCTCTCTCTGCACTGAATGAAAGCTCATGAAACAGCCTTGCTTCTCTCCACTGCTCTCTCCCCAGCTCCTCAAAGAGTACCTGACATCCCAGAGATACTGATGGCCTGAATTAATGAATAGAAATTAAATGGAAAACTTTCCCTTTTGTTTTCTTTTTCACTTCACTGTGTCTCGGCACAAATTCAAAA